CGCTGAAAGATGCTGCAACCATGGACAGCGCCCAGAAGTGCTCGCCAAGTGCCAGGGGCTGCTGCAGACTGACACTGCTGCAGGCCCCACCGCGGTCAGCAAGGAAAGGTGGGAAGAGGGACACAGGCCCCAGGAGAGACTTGGCCTCGGCCAGCGCCTCTTTGGCTGGCTGGCACTCTACCAAGAGCCCAGTGGTCACTTAATGAGCTAGTCTGCTGGCCTGGCCGGGGATGCACTCAGAGAAATTGGCGCTGGGAGGGAAGGGGGGGGGCGGGGAGGAATTGCTGAGCTAAAAGCCATCCGACCTTGATGGCTAATAACCAGAAGAACGGCCTGGAGGTTGTATAAGCTGCAACTTTCCTCCCTACCCTCCAAGCATACTCATCCAGCAACCGATTTCCTCAGCTCACTGCAACTAGACGCCTTTCCATGGGTCCTGGGGCTAATGGATAGCTATATCCTTGTGCCGTCTCCATCTACACTTGACATGTTTGCTCGGGGAAAACTGGGCATACAAGCTAGCATCAGCATCACAGAGCTTATTAAATAAGTGTCAGTTTCTACAAGATTCTCAGACATGTCTATGTACATTCAAGTTTAAGAAGCACTGCAATAGACATTTACATTTGCAGCCATGAGTTTATGTTATACCATGGAGTTTTCTGTGCATTTGTTAGTCTTAGCTCCCCAGGCTTCTTGGGGGTGGGGGTGTGCACGACTGCCTATAAGATCCCCCATTGCCTTCTCCTCAGCCCTTAGTGCTTAGGCCTTAGCACAGAGGTGTTTCCAGCCTGCCTATAGTCAGAGCATACAAACCATAGGCTTCCCAAACCCTTAGACCTGGCCCTGTTTCAGTCCAACTAAATCAGCATCATGTGGTCTGAGCCACAGTATTAGCCTGGTGTCAGTGTGCTGCCCATGAAGTACAGTCATGAGGCTCCAGGTTTCAATGAACTCCAGCATATGCCTGAATCACTGACAAGAAAAGGAAATGGGACAGACTTAGTAGACTTCCTAGGGGAAGCCTTACCCTCTCCAAGGAGCAGATGGGAGGTGGCAGGGGAGTGGGGAGAGTGGAAGGAGAGGAGGGAGAGGGAACTGGAATTGGAGTGTAAAAAATAAATTAATTTTTTTTAAAAAAGGAAAGGAAACGTGTTGCTGTGCTGCGTCCAGAATTTCAAGTCTACGTGTGTTTAAGACTTTATATAGCTACCAGTCTCCCAAGGTTTGCACAGGTGTCAGAACCAGGTACCACAAAAAAGGAAAGGAAACGTGTTGCTGTGCTGCATCCAGAATTTCAAGTCTACGTGTGTTTAAGACTTTACATAGCTACCAGTCTCCCAAGGTTTGCACAGGTGTCAGAACCAGGTACCACACTTTAAGAATGAAGTTTGTTGTCCAGAATACCTTCCTGACACATTCACCCACAGAACACCCACTGCCCTGCCTGTGTTTTCTATTAGCAACTTACATTTTCTACCATGCTATAAATTGCCTGATTGCATGTCTTTATCCTCCTCCAAGCTGTGAGCTCCATGTGGGCAAATGCCTCACCTACCTCATTCATAGCTGGATCCCTAACAGGACAAGAGTTATTATGTATGTCTCAACCCTCAGTTAAACATATGCTAATGGACAAATGTATATCTGAAAAGATAGTGCGTGTGGTCTTCTCTGTCTGATACTGTATCTTCGTCACTTTCTCAATCCTTGTATGTACTTACATACTTTCTGATCCAATCATTTTTTATTCAGAAAAACTCTAAAGAGATGAAATCAGCAGTCTTCCAATCCAATTAGAGGGAAGTGGTGGGACTCTAAAGCCCCAGGGCACGTTCAGGTGATAAGCCCTGTAGAAGCTGCAGATCCTATCTGCTTTCTTTGCTGACTTCAGGAACTTAAAGTCACGCAGATAAAATAGTGCAGACAATTCCATTAACACTATAGAGGAAAATCCACAGGACTGCTTTTGCCTCTGGCTTCACTGGAGAATTTAGGGGATGTCACACAATACCACTTTATCCCTCTGACCTTTTACTTTTTCCTTTTCTACCCCCCCTCCATCCCCTTTCTTTTTCTTTTTAGACAGGAGTTCATTCTGTAGTCCAGGCTTGCCTGGAACTGTGTAACCCCAGGCTAGCCTTGGATCCATGCCAATCCTCATTCCTCAGCCTCCTGGGTATTAGGATTGCAGGGGTATAGCCCCATGCCTTCTCTGCCTTTTGATGCACATTCTGGCCTTGAAATTACGAAACTTTTTCTGATGGTTTCAAATTTCAACGTCTTTATGCCCCACTTTTTCTCTGCTAATGGCTACCCTTCAAAAGTTTGCCAAAATTTCCCTCCTCGTGAAGTTTTCCTGATTTGACCACCCAAGCTAATTTGAGACTGTGGTTAAAATTCCCACAAACCTGTGACTTAAAACAATAGAAACTCATTATCTTATAGTTCTATAGGTTGGTAAGTCTTGCTGGGCTAAAAGCATTTTCTCAATATGGTTGCAGTCCTTCTGGAGGCTATAGGGGAAAAAATTCTATCTTTTCCAACTACTAGAAGATTCTGTATTCAATGTGTAACCCCTTCCTTCATACTTAAAACCAGCAACATTGCATTTGTGATGATTCTTCCAGTTTTCTCCTCCTCCTTTCTGTGCTAGGTACTGGACCCCAAGTTGCTCACATATGCTAAGCAAGCACTCTACCACTTTTAAAATATTTGACACAGAGGTTTCACTAAGTTTCCCTGGCTGGCCTTGAACATTCTCTATAGCTAGGCAGATCTTGAGTTTGTAATCTTCCTGCCTCAGTCTCCTGAGTATTCGGGATTACAAGCCAGTATAACCAAGTGTTGTGGGGTATCCTCTAGAGAAGAATACTTAGACACAGGTTTAAGCCAGAGTCTTTATTAGCTGGCCAGTGACCACACTGTGTGTTCTGGATTCCAGTGTAGCCCCAAGCCTTTCTTAGGGTGCACTTTTAAGAACCAAAACATTCTCCTGGGCTAACATACATCAGTTAACAAGAACAGAAAACCTGAAGCAGAACTACAGCTTTCATTTCTTCCTTCAGCATACATGAAGCCTCAGCTGTGCTTGGGTTAATGTCTCTAACTCAAGGTGCCTAAGGCATAATCTAGACCTTCAATAAACTCACGGAGCAGTCACTGTAGTTCAAGGCTAAGGGAAGCAGCTGAGAAGTGGATCAGCTTTGGTACTAGTTTTGATGCAACACAGTATGGCAACTAAAGTCTATAGCCTTGTCCTTGATCTATGTGGTATACTAAATAAGGTAGGCAATTCTTTGACATTGCTGTTATGAGAAGTAGGGTCTGTATTCTCTCTCCTTGAATCTAGAGCAACTCCATGACTCCATAAATAATCAAATACACTGGAAGTGGCATCTTGTTCATTTCTAAGATGGGTGGTTCCTCCTTTTGCCTCTTGGAATGCATACTCTTGGAGCCTTCCCCCTGCTGTGAGGAAGCTAAAGCCACCTTAAGGAGAGTCCCAAACACAGAGGATCAGGGGCTGCAGTGAGAAGGCCAGTTGTTAGCTATATATGGGGAGTTGTCTCAGCTTCTCCAGACCCAAGCATTCCAATGTGGAACAAAAATAAACAGTGCCTGCTGGGCTCTGCCCAAACTCTTGGTCACTTACACACTAAGCAATTTTGAGCAAACTTTTCCCCCCAGTGCTTCAGTCCCTCCATTTATAAAGCTAGAGGAACCTTCTCCCTTATAGTCACTATGCATCCTGCATGCAATCACACAAGCAACCTGTCCCGCTCCCACTCAGTAATGCCATCATTGATTGCCCTTGCTGAGGCTCCAGTAAGAACAGGAGGGACAATGCAGTGACTGAAAGGAGGCTCTTCCTTGAAGCAAGGGCGTCTCAGAGGCACTGTGAATGTACTGAAATGACCTCCTTGGGGCTCATGTCTGACCCCCACCACATAACACCTCCTACGATTTTGCTCCTTTGGTGCCTGGATTTTACACAATGAGAAGTGTTTCCAGAAAGGTACCACAGGTATTTCTCAACAGCAACACATCCACCAGCACAGCTGGCTGGTGACATCCATCTAAGTTTTTGAAGACCCGTGTCCTTCCCATTCTCAGTTACTCCTTCCCACCCCCACCAGGTGCCTGCTCTTTCTTCACAGTCTTTCATAGTCTTCACAGTTCCTTCACAGTCAAGGAACGCTGTGCCGACATTCACCTCCAAGTAATTTTACTGTTCTTGGTGCCACTAGAAGGGCAGCTGGGCTTTCCTTTCCAGGCCAGCTCCTTATTACCAGAAAGGAGGGTAATGTGGGCATCTCCTTGGTTAGAAACGACAACTGGCATATGCTGTCCCTTTTAAAATGAAACTCAAGTAGCATGGCAGATGCTGAGTCACCGCTTGTGGGCATTTCCCCGCCTGCCTTTTACTTTGCTGGCCGCCCCTCCCCCACCCGGGCTGTAGCAGGTGTAGTCCCTTGGTACAGACTTGCTACCTGTTTTTAACTCATTGTTGTGATACAAGTGAAGGAACTGCATCTCCTGTTGAACTTGGTTAGAAAGAACTGGAGGCCTGCTTGAGGATGGGAGACAGAAAGTGGACAAAGGTGTGTTAGCCTGTATCCTTTGTTCAGCTTCTCACCATCTGGGAAATACCGGCTTTTCACCCTTTGAATGGTCAGATATGACACATTTAGACAAATCATTGTGAGAGGAATTAATTTTTTAATGTGTTTTGACAAGGATATTAAATTTTTAAAAATGGGCTTTGTAAAGGCTTTATTTTAAA